GGGGGGAGTTGTAGGAAATTAAAACGAACTACAGGCCTAGGTGGTGCGATGTATCTGAAAGGAAAAAGGGAGGGGAATCGTGGTGAAACTGGAGGTCACTACCAATGTCATGCTTTTGAATACCTTTTCTTTTTTTTTCCCCCTAAAAAAACTATTGGGTGTAAACCCATTTGTCTACCAACTTGTCAAAAGGAAAAAAAGGAATCGTTAGTTTTGAGTGCAATTTGATGAGGTACTAACTACCCAAGGTCCTTACCCCTTGTTAAGGAAAAGATCCCAAGATTTTACTCCTCGATGACGCCTAACACGCGCTTATACAAAACTTACTGTTAACTAGTTCTTGGATCTAGAGGAGGATAGGGCCTTGCTAATATAAGAAATTCTATATGCACAAATTCGATTTTGAGTAATCTACGCATTAGATGATTGTTTGGAGAGCTTGGTTTATTTGCTCTTTTCGTCTCATATACCTTTAGAACCATTAGCCTTGGTTGGAAGCGAAAAGTCAAGGCTTAGGTTTCTACAACCGCGGCTACACAGATTTACAAATACTCCACACATACAGGAAGAACATTGGTGTTAAATATTTTGCTATTTATTAAAATTTACTAGGGGAAAACAATAACCATAGTGTTCCCAGGAAATCGTCTTTTCCAACAGATTAATAATTAATTAGGTCAGTAAAAAGATCCCTCACGTACTCTCACTTCGATATATATATATATATATATCGAGAGCGAGATAGATAGATAGATTTTTATTTATTGATTGTTTTCCTTTTCTAACTCGAAAAGGATTAACTGAAGCTGATTAGACACATTCCAAGGGAACCAAAAAGGGATATTAATACGAGAGGAACCGTGTATTAATGAATTTCTTTTTTAGTCGACAAAAAACGTCCAACGGAAGTTATGATAATGAGTACGAGCTTCTCGATGAGCCCATCTACAGCGCGATGCACATCCCTCTTAGATTAAATCCCAAAGAGCGCAAAGTCCAGCGGCTCATGCGGGGGATTATTCTGGCCTCGTGTTACACCGACAAGGTCGACACCGCCGCGGCGAAAACCACCAAGCGAGGGATCCTCATCGCGCGCGAGCTGATCAACGTCTTCAGCGGCCTGATCATCGGCCTCGACTTCACCAGCGCGGCGGCGCTTCTGCAAAAGAAGGAGTTCGCGCCCTACCGCGAGGAAATCCGCACGGCGATCGAGACCTGCCGGCGGTATAAAATCATGAACCCCGATCTAATGCGGACGGACTACGTGAAGTTTCTTTATATGGTCCAGGACGCGGTGCAGGATAGCGGGGTGCAGGACGTTCTTAACTTCGACGCCGCCGCGGAGTTGATGACGGTGGGGCGCTACTGCGAGGAGCTCGGCGTGCAGGAGATCCTGAAGGATACGCGGCTGCCGCTCTGCATTACGCCCATCCCCCTCATCGCCAACCGCGCGGTGTTGAATAAATGCCTGCGGTATAAGGACGTCTTGGTGAATACCGTCATCAAAGAGTACGCCGCGAAGTTCAGCAAGACCGAGGAAAGCATCGAGGTGATTATTCGCAGCCTGAACGATGCGAATTGCTTCTCGAACGATAATGTGAAAACCACGGAGGAGATTTTGGGGCTTTTGCGGAAATATTTCCACCCCACCCAGTCCGACGCCCTCACGAGCTT